ACACTTCTGGAGAAGTAGAGAAGAGAGAATGTTTATGCAGTTAGTGGGAATGTGAATTAGTACAACAGTATGGAAGACATATTTGGAGGTTCCTTAGAAGACTAAAAGTTGAATTACAACATGATGAAGCCCTCTCTGCCTCAAGTGTGTATCCCCAAACTTGATACTGTACTTTCTCGTGTTCATTGCAACATCATTTGCCGTAACCAAGATTTGAAATCAACCTGAAAATTAATCAGTGTTCGTCACTGAGTAAATGGATGAAGATGTGGTTTATTTTTAAGTTACATGTAGCCCTTGGATCACACTCCATCACTGAGAGAAGTCAGGGCAGGAAGGACTCTAGAGGCAGGGACTGGTGCAGAGGCCATGGAGGAATGTTGCTTACTGATTTGCACCTCATGACTTGCTCGGCCTGCTTTCTTGAAGCACACAGGACCACCAGCCCAGGGGTAGCACCACCCACAGTGGACTGGGCCCTCCCACATCAAGCATCAATCATGGAAGATGCACTACAAACTTCTCTACAGGCTAGTCTCATGGAGGTGTGTTCTGAATTGAGAATTCCTCCATGACACTAGCTTGTGTCACAGTAACATAAAACTAGCCAGCACACCACGCATCCTTTTAAAAAGTCTTTCAAAGTATTCACCTTCTTAACTACATCTGTTGAGTCAGTGAAGGATTTTTGTCTTGGTATTGGGCCCAGAATGTAGAGGTTCTTGCACTGAAGGAATTCAGAGGGAGATTGGGAGGAAGCAGCCAGGAACAATGGGGGAGGAGGTGTTTACCTCAGATGGCTGAGCATTCTTCAGAGGCAACGGCTGGATTCCCATTGGAGATGGTGCTGTCTGAAAAGGCTTCATAAAAAAACTATTGAAAAGAGGCTAGTGCTTAGCTGTTTAACTGAAATCAGGCCTGCTGTGTGTTTTAGTTACAGTGTGGTGGTTGTGAATGGTGGAGTTGATAGAATGTGAGTGTACCAGACAAGAGGAATCTAGAGCTGTGGGCCATAGAAATGGGCTGTATGCTAGGGAGTTAGAAAGCCACTGCAGAATTTGAAGCAGAGGAATAACGTTTTTTTCCTTATGACTTCTTTACAGTAGCTGTAAACAAAACTAGTAGCCTGCACAGCTCCATTGTTGAAGTTTGGTGCCCTCTGGTGTTGAGCCATAAAAAAGCAACTAATACCTCCTGGGCATGTCTCTTCCTGTAGTCCTTGTTCCTGTCATTTTTAGGAAGCCCTGGGGAAAGCTCTGGAGTCCTCAACCCAAAAAAAGAACTGTAGGCAACTAAGGAATTCTGAGGGCTGGAGAAATAGTCTTTCCCAGGGAAGAGTACACTTAATTGGTCATACCACCAACATGGTCACCCCTGAAAGTGTGTGTGTGTGAGTGTGTGTGTGTGTGTGTGCGCGCGCGTGTGCGTGCGTGTGTGTAAGAAACAATGATTAAGAAAAAGAAGCGATGAATTTGAAAGGGAGCAGAGGTAAGAGTGATACATGGGAGGGTTTGGAGGGAAGGAAAGGGAACGGGAAATGCTATAATCTCAAAAAAAAAAAAAAAAAAGAAAAATATTTTTTTAGAAGCCCAATGAGAGAACCGTCTGGTTTTGAGCTAGTTTGTTGTTGTTAAAGCTCATGAGTCGGGCGATGGTGGCACACGCCTTTAATCCCAGCACTCGCAGAGGCAGGCGGATCTCTGTGAGTTCGAGGCCAGCCTGGTCTACAAGATCTAGTTTCCAGGACAGGCTCCAAAGCTACAGAGAAACCCTGCCTCGAAAAACCCAAAATAAATAAATAAATAAATAAATAAATAAATAAATAAATCCCATTTAAAAAATAAGAAAAATAAATAAAGCTTGTGGAAGAAGCACCTATTGTGGCGCTTTCTATAGATGCTTACTATGGCCTTTGTTTGCTTCTTTGAAACTATAAATTCAGTTTCTGTTTTGATGTTTTCTGTGTGGGGGTTGATTTGTAGCTAATGGGTTAAAAAAAACTATAAGAAATATGGATGGGACCAGATACAACTGAAATGATTTTATTTAAGGGATGAACAACATTCCAAAGAGATGTAGCAGATAGGTCCCCGATTCTTTTAATCTTTCTCCTCTCCTTTATCATTATTCCTTCCTCTTTTATTATGTGAATAATCCAGTTTCCTTTCTGTCACTGTTTGAAACATTCTGAGCAAAGCCCCTTGGGTGAGGAAAGGGTTTATTTAGCTCACACTTGTAGGGCACATTCCATCATTGAGGAAGTCAGGATGGGACTGGATGGCAAGCCTGCTTGCTGTGGTGTCGCGCAGCATTACTTCTGATCAGGAAACTCATCCACAGCCAAAGAAGACCAGCAGAAACGTGAAGGAGTGCCACTGTGACTCCCTGGAGGATCCACCCTAACCAGCCCATCTGCCCAGGGAGTGCTGCCACCCATGGTGGCCTGGGCCCTCCTGAAACATAGACATGCTCACAGGCCAGTCTCCCCCAGGCGGTTCTTCAGTTGAGACTCCCTACTTGGGTGACTTTAAACTGCATCAGTTTGCAGTTAAAGCCCACCAGGACAGTGAAATGCCATGCCTGGAGGAAAGTGCATAAAACTTTTAGGACTAGTTTAGGTTAATTTTAAGAAATCCAGAAATAAGTATTCTTAGTTTTGTGAATGGAGACTAAAATAGTAATCCCACTTCTTTAAAACTCAACTGAACCTCCTTTGTGTCTGAAATGATAAGGCCCTTATTGAACATCCTATCCATAAAATGAAAAAATTTATTTGTCCAGTTTCAGAGCTCAGAGTTAGCCATAGCGAATCAGGTGAAATACTCTCTAACCTATTAAAATGTGGTTTTGAAGGTGAGCTGTAATAGCTGAGTTACTAAAATGTCTTTTACTTGTGGTGTTGACTTAATAGTTATACCCAGTTTGTTGTCATAGTGTCTCACTGGCTTTAGACTTACATTGTCATTCATTTTTTTAACCAATGAGTATTATTTTTATTAGCATGCTGCTTTCTAACTTAGCTGCCATTGTGAACAGAATTTGCTACTGTCCCATCTGCCTCCTAGATTTCTCTAAGTAAACATCAGCTCCTTGCTTTCCTCCCAGATGTTGCAGGAGTCCATTCCTTCCCTCACTGCAGTGTGGCGCTTTAACCTCACCTTATTTGTGTTGGTTTTGTACTGATCTTTGCTGTTGTTGGTTTATGCACAAGTGTTTGGACCCTAGTTTGTAATATGTCAGTGGCTTCAGGGACTCTATTGGCTTATGTTTTACTTGTTTTTAATATTTTATTTTATCTACCTATATCTACCTACCTACCAACCATCTATTTTGGATTTTTGAGGTAGGTTTCTCAGTGTAACAGCTCTACCTGTCCTGGAACAAGCTTTGTAGGCCAGACTGGCCTTGGTTTTGTATTTTAGATAGGGAATTTACTAGCTAGCTAGCTTTGCCTAGTCTGGACCTGTTGTGTAGACATGTCTTGTCAGACTTGGTGAGTCCTTCTGTCTTAGCACCCAAGTGCTGGGATTGTGGGTATGAGCCACCAGGTATTATTTCTGTTTCCTTCTTTATTAGTTATTTTTCTAACCACCATGACAAAATATCTGACAAAAGTAGGTAAGGAAGGATTTGTTTTGGCTCAGAGTCAGAGGACACAGTCCCATCGTGGTGAGGAAGGCATGGTAGCAGGAGCACAGGCAGCTCTTTGCATTTCACTCAGGCAAGAAGCAGAGAGCAATGAATGGTGGTGTTAGCCTGCCAGGACCCTGCTTGTTGCAGCTCAGAGACACTAGAGATGTCTTCCTTGGTGATAGTGAATCCTGTCGAGGTGGCAGTAAGGATCAACTATCATGGCTTTTTAAGACTTATTTCCTTGTTGTGTTGTTCAGAGGGTATCCTAGGATTAAAACTATAGCTTCTTAAAATGTCAGTTTTAAATAATAATAGTAATGTACCACCTCACATACAACCTGGTTCAACTGTATCTCCTCATCTTTTTCAGTATCATTTTAATATCTCTTCTACCTGCTGTAACCCTAATAGTATATGCTGTCATTTTGCTTATAGAAATTTCTTCTGAAGGCTTTTTATTTTTTATTGTTAGATGATTTTTTTGTTTTGTTTTGTTTTTGTGGCTTTGCCTACATATCTAGCCTTGGCTGTCCTGGAATTTGCAGTGTAGACCAGACTGGCCTCAAATTCACAGAGATTTGCTCCTAGGCATGGTGGAGGAGAAAGTTTATTGTTGATAAAAGGAAGATACAGGTAAGCGCAGTCTAGCCCCTGGGCTGGAGAGTTCTGGGTATAGGTTGGGGTTATGCCAGCCATATCCTGTAACAGATAGGGACTGAGGGATGCTGGGTGGACCAGGAGGCCAGGTCTGCTTTGATATGTTAAATAGGTACCTCAGGCATCAGTCCTAGGATTTGAGACTTAACCATTTTATTTTACAATTTTCCGGCTTTATCAACAACAACAACAAAAAAAAAACATAATTGCCTAGGAAGTGCTTTGGCTTTAAGATTTAAAAGCTAATCCAAAGAGTAGAAAAATGACTCTGGTTCAGTGTTTAGCAAAGGGGAGTGAGATCTAGAACATTTGTGATGTTTGGATGTCTTTTCCCACATCTAATAGCCGTAATAAATTCAAGGTTGGATGGATTTAAATAAAGTGTTCAGGGGAATTTCTTTATTTGCTTAATTGATTTTAAAAATAATGATAGGATTTTTAATGACAATCTACAAGTCAGTTACTAAAGCTTCTTAAAAGTCACAAGTGCATTTTTTTAAAGATAAAAACTGCTGTTAAGTTCTGATTAACAGCTATAGCTAAGGGACTTTGTATCACTACTATTGAGTAGATTCTACTCCAGTGTTAATGTAGAGGCCCTCCTACAAATATATAAACAGAGTGGCCGGTTTTCACCTTCCAAATAAGTAGAACATGTGATAATTGTTTTTCTGTGGCCAACTTAATTTATTATAATGTCCTATAGTTCTATTCATATTGTTGCTAAAGACAGAAAACTTCATCTGTTTTATGGCAAAATAATACTCCATTGTGTATGCAAGACACATTTTCCTGTATCCATCACCCGTCAATATGCACATAGATTGATCTGGTCTATTGTAAAGCAATAAGCATATGAGTACAGATATCTCCAGTATTTTATGAATCAGTAGAGATCCTGATAAAGTCTAGATATGTTGAAGAATGTGTTTTACCATCTTATCTCAGTCTTTGTCGTCTTATTTTCTTAAGAGTATCTTTTGAAGAAAAGTATTTTAAAAGTCAATGAAGGTACGAAAGTTTTAATGGTGTCTAGAGAATTAAAGCCTATTAAAAACTAGAGTGTGGGCCGGGCGGTGGTGGCGCAAGCCTTTAATCCCAGCACTCGGGAGGCAGAGGCAGGCAGATCTCTGTGAGTTCGAGGCCAGCCTGGTCTACAAAGGGAGTTCCAGGACAGGCTCCAAAACCACAGAGAAACCCTGTCTCGAAAAACAAAAACAAAAACAAAAACAAAAAAAAAACCTAGAGTGTGGCTTAGGCATGCTTGGGTATGCTTTTAATCCCAGCACTCAGGTGACGGATATCCATGCATTCCAGGACAGCAAGGGCCACATAGTGAGACTGTCTTAAAGAATGTCTAGAGCTACCCTGATCATTCATTGATCATTAGCACAAATTAAATATTTAACATTATATTACTCTCCTGTGAAATTGCCATTAAATTGTAAGTAGTGTGATTTTTTTTTCTTCAGCAAACTTGTTTCGCAAATCCATTCTTTCTCAGTGTAGAATCTGCTTGATTTTACCTTGAATTTTTAGCTTTTCTTTGAATTTGGTTTTTATGTATGTATGAATCAAGCCTAGAGTCTTGCTTTTGAGGAAGGACCTGTTTGAAATTTGCCAACAGATTTCAGGCTACAACATTGTTAGGCTTGGCCAACTTAAGTGTTGCATTTTCTTATACCTACTAAGTCAGTGTTGGAATACAGTGGGAAAGGAAGCCAGTGTTACTTGAATATTTTGTCATTTTTTTATTTACTTTATATACATGACTGTTTTGCATGCATGTGTATTTGCAGCATGAGAGTGTTTGGTAACCTCAGAGGCCAGGTGGTGGGTTTTTTTTTTTTAAATACATTTTTTATTGACATTTATTGAGCTCTACATTTTTCTCTGCTCCCCTCCCTGCCTCTTTCCTTCTTCCTTCAATCCTCCCCCAAGGTCCCCATGCTCCCAATTTACTCAGGAGATCTTGTCTTTTTCTACTTTCTACTGCCCATGTAGATTAGATCTATGTAAGTCTCTTTTTGTTATCTAAGTTCTCTGGGATTGTGGTTTGTAGGCTGAGTTTCTTTGCTTTATGTTTAAAAACCACCTATGAGTGAGTACATGTGATAATTCTCTTTCTGTGTCTGGGTTACCTCACTCAAAATAATGTTTTCTAGCTCCATCCATTTTCCTGCATAATTCAAGCTGTCGTTATTTTTTTCTGTTGTAGTACTCCATTGTGTAAATGTACCACTTTTTTTTTTTAATCTATTCTTTGATCGAGGGGCATTTAGGTAGTTTCCAGGTTCTGGCTATGACAAACAAAGCTGCTATGAACATAGTTGAGCACATGTCCTTGTGGCATGGTTGAGCATCCTTTGGATATATACCCAAAAGTGGTATTACTGGGTCTTGAGGAAGGTTGTTTCCTAATTTACTGAGAAATTGCCACACTGACATCCAAAGGGGCTGTGGCAGCTTGCATTCCCACCAGCAATGCAGAAGTGTTCCCTTTTCCCCACAACCTCTCCAGCATAGGTTGTCATCAGTGTTTTTGATCTTGGCCATTCTTACAGGCCAGGTGGTGTTATAGGACCTCCTGGGATAGAGTTACAGATAGTTGTGTTAACTGGTAAGCCAGTCCCTGAAATATTTTCTAGTAATATTTTTATGACTCATATTTTCAGTATACTTACCATAGAACTGTAGTCTATGGCGGTATAGCATGGTTTACAGACTGATACAAATTTAAAAGTCTGTACAAAATCTATTGAGTTTTATATTTTATTTGTTTGGAATTTTTTATTTTAGTAAAACCAGTGCGCGCGCGCACACACACACACACACACACACACATACATACATAGGAAAAGTTGACAGTATTTGTTTTTCTTGGTTTAGGTCCTGGGAACACCAACAAGGGAGCAAATTAGAGAAATGAACCCAAATTATACAGAATTCAAATTCCCTCAAATCAAGGCACATCCTTGGACAAAGGTGAGTCAAAATGAGTTTTTAAGAAAGTGCATCAACTAATAGTTAACTAAACTTTGGGGTTTTCATTGTACTTAAGCTAAACTATTGTGAGAGTCCATACCATGTGTTGATTTCAAATGCACAGCAATCCTCTGTGAAGGCAGCTCAGTGGCTATAGTTCAGTATCTGACAGTGTACTTTATTCCTACTGATGGCCTGTGGACAATATCCAGCCTAGGCTTTCTTTTGCAGGTAAGAACAGAGAACAGAATACCCATAACAAATAATGGGATGGGATTCTTAAAAACTTAAACTTTTAAACTTAATTTCTTGATTTAAATAGAGATTTGTAATTCAATATTATCACAGATAAAGGCCTTTAAATTTTTCTTTATTCTTTAAACTATATTTTAAACTATCAAAATATAGACCTTCTTATAGATGTTGCATGTTTGCCTTGTTTACTATCCTGTTGGTACTTCAGGAGAAGTATTTTTAAAGCAGGTATAATCTTGTTGGGAAAACTTAATCAGGAGTTTTTCTACCTCAGGTTGTATGATGAAATTAAGTGTGCAAAGAAAAATAGAATGTGTTAGAATTTATACATGGTGTTCATTTTTAGCTGCCTCATTTTATAGGTTCAGAAACTCCAGCCAAAGACAGGAATCCAGGGATCCAGCCTGCAGGCAGCTGTGGCAGTGTTAATGCTAACACTAGTCCTTGTGTGTCTAATACTGAGTCCTTAGATGAGTCGTGTGGTAGGTGGGCTGTAGAGACAGATGAGAGTTCAAACAGGACACTATATTTTAAATTGTCCTCATAAATTGTTTTATACATTGATAAGTTTGTATATCAATTAAGAGATGAAGTAATTTAAGACTAGATCAGTACGCTTGCCTCCCTTCCTCTTTCTGTTCTATTATTGTTTTAATGATATGATGATTACATGTATAATCTAATAGTCTCATAGCCTCTCTTCAGACAAACACCTAACATTCAACTATCTTTTCCTACTTTAAACAAAGATATCGGTAATATTTTGGTGCCAGAAATACACATTGAGGCTTTCATTCTCCTAAGAGGCCAGCCCCTTCATTTTTAAACTTTATGGCAAACACTAGTCTTCGGTAAAGTAGATCTTTGTGTTTAAGGCTTATTTTGGAGCCAAGTGAAATAATATTTAGGATCTTTCCCATGGCTCTAAACCCAGAGGATCCTAGGTGACCTGTTGGCTTAGAGGTCAAGTCACAGATTGGACCCACTGGAGTTATTACAGGTCAGTGTGTATTGTGAGCACAAATAATAGAAACCCAGAGACAGATACTGGGGTTCAGCCTAAAGATCAGACAAGCAAAGCAGCGAGACACTGGCTCTTACCTCTGTCTCAGACCAAAAGGGTGATCAATCCTCAGATTGAGACTGAGAGTGAGACCTGTCTCCTCCCATATTATATTCCTCTCTAGAGCCAGAATTAAAGGCATGCATCACTACTGCCCAGCCTCTGTTTCTGACTAGTGTGACTGCTGGGATTAAAGGTGTGTGCAACCACTGCCTGGCTTGTATGGCTGACTGGTGTGGCTGTTTTGTACTAATCTTCAGGCAAGTTTTATTTATTAAAACACAAATAATAATAATAATAATAATACAATTATTTTTTTCATTTTTGTCTAAAATAAAAAGGCTATAACTAATATAAGAAAAACTATACCATAAGTACAGTAACTGTATACAATATATATATAGGCAGTAAATATTACAACAATGTCTAGTCCATTTGCACTTGACAAATTCAGAGAAAATACTCCATTATCCTATCTTAGTGAGTCAAAGTCTTGTACCTAATTTACTTTCTATCATTACTTGTTTTCTGCATCTGATAAACAAGGAAAACTATGACTATCTAGTCTCTCTCAGAAACCCAAGAAGGAAATAATTATTAACTGAGTAAGCAGGAAGTGCAAACAAGCGACTTCCAAAAAATGTGCTGCCTGGACTGTCACTCAAAGTTTCTCTACAATGTTGGGACATCTATCTTCGGCTTACAGGCCTAGTATATCTGACAGAATTTTCTGTGAAGCAGGATATTCTGAAGGGCTGTCCTACCTTGTCTTGAAGGTGTTTGGCAGTCACTCTCTTTTGTGTCCAGTTAGGATAGCATACTGCCAGCAGTCAAGGCAAGGGCATTTTCTTGCTTAATGGCTTACTTTTGCCACAAAGAAAGTAAACTCCATCCTCGTTAGTATAGTGGTGAGTATCCCCGCCTGTCACGTGGGATTATAAAAAAAAAAAAGAAAGAAAGAAAGTAAACTCCATGTGGAGTTTCTTTGAAGCCCATTATCTTCGCTAAAATAGATTGGTGCTGCCAGGAGCAGACATGACTCATTGTCATTAAAAAAAAAAAAAAAATCCTGGGGCTGGAGAGATGGCTCAGCGGTTAAGAGCATTGCCTGCTCTTCCAAAGGTCCTGAGTTCAATTCCCAGCAACCACATGGTGGCTCACAACCATCTGTAATGAGGTCTGGTGCTCTCTTCTGGCATGCAGGCATACACACAGACAGAATATTGTATACATAATAAGTAAATAAATAAATATTTTAAAAAAAATCCTGAAAAGAAAAATTTGGGTTAATTGTCAAATCCTGGGAGAGGTAGCTATATCATTTGTTGTTCAGTCTCTGTGTAATGGGAAGGTGAAAGGCTTGTCTCAGTCCTGGCTAGAGCAGTCTGTTAGGCTGGATCATCTTAGCTAGCCACCTTGAAATTGTTCTGAGCAGTTTGTAGTCCAAAGCCAATCTTTATGTGGTGTTTTTCAGCTTAGTGGGGTTATCATAGTTCTGGAGGAAGCATTTTTGTGGGGCCCCATCCTCCTTATGGAGACTTCAAAATTTTCTGCTGGCCTGCTCATGGTTCATTGTTGGAAATGTGATATACCAATAGGCCAATTTACTAGTTTTCTTGAGACTTTTTTTCTGGTTGATTATTTGTCCTTTTTCTTCAGATGTCTCATTTGTCCGGTGGTCTTCAGATTCTTTAACTGGATACCTTTACTCTCCTGAAAAGACAGAAACAAAACCCTTCTTCCCCAACCCTAATTTTCAGGAGATTATCTTTTGGCAAATTATATCTGATCAAATAAAAAGCATTGGTTAGTTGTGTAGGTTAGTTTAGATTAAATAGCCATGCTGTTTGATGAACTATCATTTATTTGAATTAAGATGTGTCTCTTGTTCAAATCGAATCTTTATCAGTTTTGATGGTATCCATAGCTTTCTTCTCCTTTAGAAACAAAAACAAAACCCTTTTTCAAATGTAACACATGTTGTGGTTTTCATTATGAGGTCAGTACATCTTTAAAGTATATCTGCTGATTTAATTCTGTAGTTTTTTCTACTATCCAATGTCTCTTTGCAGTTCTTGTTCCTTTCTTATTAGCATTTTGAGAATTCAGAGTTGATAACGAATTATGCAGTCTATTTCTGGGGTATTTATCATCCCTTTCTGTTTATTTAACATATCATTTAGAGTTTGATTTGATCTTTCTATAGCTGCCTGGCTTGTAGGATTGTGTAGTCTACCTGTAATATGCTTTATATTATTTTATTTTATTTTATTTTGTTTTGTTTTGTTTTGTTTTCGAGACAGGGCTTCTCTGTGGCTTTGGAGCCTGTCCTGGAACTAGCTCTGTAGACCAGGCTGTTCTCGAACTCACAGAGATCTGCCTGCCTCTGCCTCCCGAGTGCTGGGATTAAAGGCGTGCGCCACCATTGCCTGGCTATCCTTTATATTAGAATAAGCAAAAAACGGTTTATGTTTTTAGAGACATATGCTGGAGTATTCTTAATAAATTATGCTTAGAAAAAAACATTTCTGGGAATACCCTGTTTACAGTCCCTTTTAAGGAGACCTTGTTTGCCACAATTGAAACACTTGACATTTTGATTTTTCTTCAAACCTCTGGAAACCAACTCTCCTATCCAAATGTATTATGGTCATGAAATTCAATGTTAGTTATATCTCGGATCCATTTTGCCAAAGGTACTGACCTTGCCTTTAACAGCCTTATTATCCTTTTGCATTGAGAACCAGCATTTTCAAAATTCAGAGCTTCAATTATTATTTTCCAGATTCTGAATTTGGTATCATTCTATTTACTGCTGAAGTCAGTCTTTGTAAGAAATCTGTAAAGGCTTTCTTTTACCCCTCTATAACTTTAGCAAATGACTCAGTTTTCTTTCCTATTTCTTTAATTCTGTCCCAAGCATTCAAAGCTGCTGCGTAGCATAAATCCAGGGTGTGGTCATCATATAATACACTTGCCTTTCTATAGTAGCGTAATCTTTTTCTCCAAGAATGTGATCTTAGGAGATGTCCTACCTCTAGCTTTACTCCATTGTTCAATAATCTTAGCCTCTTCTCTGAACCAGGTACTCCATTATAATAGTGGACCAGACTCTAAAACACTGTTAACCAATTCTATCAGTCTTTAGGGATAATTCTATTACAAACTGACCACAAGTTTAACATCTGCTTCACAAAAGGTGAATGTAAGGAGGCCACTTGTTTTTGTTCCCAGCTGCTTATCCCCAAAGCAATCACACAGAAACTATGTGATTAAATTAATTTAATTAATTAATTGAATTACTGTTTGTCCCATTATCTCTAGCTTCTTATTGGCTAACTCTTACATATTAATTTAACCCATCTCCATTAATCTGTATATCGCCACATGACTGTAGTTTACCAGCTAAAGTTCCGACGTCTGTCTCCAGCAGGGTGACATGGCTTCTCTCTGACTCTGCTTCCTTTCTCCCAGCATTCTCTTTAGTTTTCCCAGTCTACCTAAGTTCTGCCCTGCTATAGGTCCAAAGCAGTTTCTTTCTTCATTAATGGTAATCACAGCACACAGAGGGAAATCCCACACCAGGTGTATGCACGCCATATGAGACTATTGCTTCCTGGAATCTCCTTAAATCTAACATTGGCACAGGAATCCTGTTAGCTGTAACAGAACTTCTGCCATT